ATTTATTACCGATTCGATACATCGTATATACCACGGGTAGGTAACCTATGGCACGTGAGCTGATTTTCAGTGGCACTCACACTGCCCAGGTCCTGGCCACCGGTCCGGGGGGCTCTGCATTTTAATTTAATTTTAAATGAAGCTTCTTAAACATTTTAAAAACCTTATTTACTTTCCATACAACAATAGTTTAGTTCTATATTATAGACGTCTAGAAAGAGACCGTCTAAAAACGTTCAAATGTATGACTGGCAAAACCTTCCATCAGAGTGAATCAATGAAGGCTCGGCAGGTTGCCGACCCCTGGTCTATACAAACCAGTTAGTAAATAACCTACAGCCCCGTTGTTCAGGGCAGGGGAGGGGGACCTGCACCCAGTAAGATCCCGCCAGCTGATGAAAGGATGCTGGGGTGTCTCCCTCCTTCCCTGGGAGCCCGGCCACGGGCAGCGGTATGTGGGGCCTCGACAAAAGCTCACCAGCTTGGCCTACAAGATCAGCTAATCCACGGACCCCCTGCCTGTGATTTTAGCCCTTATTTAATGGGATGCCGCTGAGGCACGGGCAGGGCAGTGACTGCCCGATGGGCTCGGCCGGGAGAGCCTCCCCACGCTTCCTGGGGCGGGCCAGCCAGGCAACCCCCCTCCTTCGCGGGGTCCGCCGTTCCCCCTGCTCCGGCAGCTGTTTCTGGCTAGGTGCATCCCGGGCTGGACGCAGGTGTTCAGGGAGAAGGGGTGCGCCGGCCCCTCAGCGCTCAGTACCGGACTCCCCTGGGTGACCCCAGCCTAGGAAGGCGCCTTAGGGAGCTCCCAGGGCGGCCCCACAGCGGAGGAAACTTTGCAAAGAAAAGCTCCCCCGCCCCATGCCCCTTGCAGCAGAGCGCTCGGGCCAGGCGAAGCCCGCTACACCCCAGCAGGCCCATGCAGAGTGAAACCGGTTCTGTCTCTTCTCTGGGTCTCACTCCGATTCGGGGAGGGGGGGCTGGGAAGGGGCGAGCAGGTGGCAAAGCACCGGGCGTTGTTTGGGCCTTTGCACCAAGGGAGGGAAATGCCCCAACTCCGGGCTGGGATCTGGGGAAGGAGCGGGCCAAGGAGCCAGTCAGCTCCCAGGGCAGGGGCCGGGGGGCTCTAGGAAGCCCGCTGTCTTCTCTCCTAGGCGCTGCGGAGCCGGTCCGGTCCCAGCGAGCAGCGAGGGCCGGCTCCTGCCCCCCTGGCAGCAGCAGCGGGTCCCGGCCAGAGGAAATGGGGCCTGAACAGCTGATCTCGCCTCCAGCCTCGGCTTTGCGCCGGGCGCGGCTGGCTCTGGGGAGGGGAGAACGGCGGCAATGAACCAAAACCAGGGCGCGCCAGAGGCCGCCCCGCTGACGGCCGGGGAGATGGCCCCGGGCTCCTAAGCTGCTGCCGGGACTCCAGCGTGTCCCTCCCCCGTCCGCAGCCGGCTGGGGTGGAGACCGCGCCTCGGCTCCTCTGGCTGGAGCTGGGGGGTCAGGTCGGAGGTGGGGGTCAGGTCGGGGAGGGGGCTAATTGATTAAGAGCCTCCTGGGCCCCTGGGGGGGGGGGTGAGAACCAGAGGTGGGGGAGGCGGCAGAGGGAGGGGCTGGGTATTACCCTGGGGCGCAGGTAGGACGGGTCCCTTCCCAGTCCTGGCTAGCCGGGGGGGAGGGGGGGGTCTAGGATTCTGCTCGGAAATGAATTGTAGACACCTTGCTCCAGGTATTGCCCTGGACCTCCCCGCGTTTTAGCCAGGAAGAGCGGCTACCCCGTGCTTAGACCCCGGCCTGAGCCAATTCGGAGCCAGTCCCTGTTACAAGTGGATTGAGTCGAATCACTTCGAACAGAGTTCGGTCCCCGACTTCCCCTCGTCTCCCGCCGGGGCAACAACTCAGCAGCCACCCCACCGTGCTTAAAGGTTGTTTTTATTAAAGAACAAAAATGGCGTACAGAGGTGTCTCCCCCCACAACAGGGGCAGGGTTGTTTTTATTTATTTCTCCTTTCCTTGGGTGTACCGTGAGTCGCAAACCGCCCGATAAAGTGCTGTCACATCCATCATTTGCAAGGGAGCGTGGAGGGGAAATAAATATACATCATAAATAAATAAATAAAAAGTCAACAAATACTGGACCAAGAGAAATCACAGTACATTTATATCCATTGCACATAGCCACTTTTTCCAGTCTAGACAAGGGTTTCAAGAAGTGAACAGACAGGTAGGCATGAAGGGGGCAGACAGTGAGCAAGGAGAAAGTTGCTTGCAGGATTCCTTGGATAGAACCGATTCACAGCGGACCGTGTCTGGGGGCGTTTTGTTTTGTTAATTCGCTTTTGGTCCGTTTACACCTTGGCGGTCAGCTGCCCGGATTCGCAGACTGGAGGAGCTGTATTTACACTTCTAGAAACGCTGAGCCCGAGAGCTCCACGCAGTCCTGTATTTACACGTGTCTCCTTAGAAATGGCTTGTGGCTGGGTTTTCCCTTTCGCGGCGCAAGGGGCTGCCGGCTATTCACACTCCGAAGTCGCATGGCTTTGGCGGGAAGGGGGGGGGGTTCATTGGGGTAGCAGGGGCGGTTTGAAGGAGCAGTTCCCCGTGCAGTGGCGAGGCGTGAGCATTTTGCAGGAGAAGTGGTGGAGCGCGTCGTGGGCCTCTGCAAAGAGAGACAGACACAAAGCAAACCTCGTTACTCCTGGTCCCCCGCATGCGTTCACACCGGGCCCGGTTCCGATCCCCACCGCCCGGGGCTTCCCCTGACAGCGGTACAATCTCAGGTGCATCCCTCTTCAAGGACTATTGATTGAGGCGATTTACAGATCTGCCCCCCTCTCCCCGCACACCTGGTTCAACATTTCCCCGTCGTATCGACACCGGTTTGGTTACAAACCCAAGTGGCCCGCGTTTTATTTCGCATCCGTGTATTCCTCCCCCACCCCCCAAGACAATGATTTTCCAGGTGGGCATTTCCCCATCTCCGTCCATGCTTTGGAGAGATACCTTTCAACTTCTGCTGGATGGCGTAGCGAGCTTTCCTCTCCTGGTCCAGTTCGTTACACAGGGTATCTGGGAAGAGGGGGACGGATCAGAGTGAAGGGCATAAATCACCACCCCACACACAGCCCCTTCGAGCTTTAATGAAACCCGGCCTTGGAGTTTGGGGTTTAAAAACAAACCAAGGAGCGCGCTGGCTTCTGATCGCAGCCTGGGATTGGAAAGTAACGGCTGAGAATTGCGCTTGAAGGCAGACGGATACAGTCAACATTCAAGCCAACTTAGGCATTACTTCCCAGGTAATTTTACGCCTCGGTTTTTAATTTAGAAGCCCTGGAAATTGCTTCGATAAGAAGTTCAATCACTCCTATGTAATGATGCCTCCGAGCCGTATGCTGGGCTGGCTTGCGATTCCGAGGCTAATCAGACTATACAAAAGGATATTCAATAAAAAAAATAATTGTTAAATTACCTCCCATTTACATGTAAATGACAGAGCTCACATGGCAAGCTCCCTACCAGGGCGGCTCACCTGAGTCGAGCCTTACCTCTGACGATTTGTAGCTGTTGGACCATTTCTTCCCTATACGCCAGCTCCCTCTTCATCTGATCCTGAAAATTATCTGTGCGGATGGCAGGCGGCAGGAAGTGAGAACGGTAAAGCAGCCGCCTTCCCCCTCGGCCCAAGCATGCATGTAGTGGGGAGGTGTAAAACAGCCCTGCGGCTGGGGGACGTGTCCCACTTTTCCGTTGGAGGGTTGCTCAAAACAGTGCGAAGCTACAAGACCCCAGTGGGACGGGTTCAAGTGGATTTTAAGTCGTTATAAAAACCGGAGTCGTTGATACGTGACCCATCAAGGCGGCTCGGCAGAGGAGACGCTCTTAGGGGGTTGGTTGGGTGGGGGGGGGGGAGGTTGGTACCTTTCAGACTTTGGAATTCCCGTTCTAATTTCTTCCTAAGCTCCACTTGCTCCAGGAGCAATTTTTGCAATTCGTCTGTGGAAAAATAAAGCCTCACGTGAGAAAACACACTTTCCAGCTGGAGAAGGAGCCGCGTTTGCTTGAATCGCATTATATTACATTAATCACAGGAGTTAATCGCTCCCGGAAAAAAATACCTACGGCCTAAATAAAAACGATAAACGGGGCACTCGGCGTGGGAACGAAAGGCACCTGAAATCGACGGGGTCCATCCGAAGGGATGGGGCTGGGGGCTGCTTTCGTTTTCGGGGCGCACCCAAGCGTCCTGGGAAGCCAGGAGGCTCCAACCCTTACACTAGGGTGAGGCGTTTTTAATAGGAGAGAGGCTGCAATCACCGCGGGTCGGTGGTTTTAAGCCCAATCTGTGTCGTGAATCATTCCCGGGGATTTCTGATCACCCACGTTTGGCAGATTTCAGCTCTTCGGGCTGAATCACGGGGCCGCTTCAAATCCCTGCCCATTAAGGACAATGCGAATCACCCCCCAGCCTTCAGCTTCTTAACGGGTTTATGGAAAGTGACAACAGAAGGTGGAGGTGAATTAACCATCCCACGCAGCAGCCCGGCCCCCTTGCACGGCGTCTGTAAACGCTGACGGGGTTCGTTACAGTTTGGGATCCCTGGCCAGGCCTCGATAGCTTTTCTGTAAGACACCAAGCCAGCGAGAAACGAGCCCTTCTCGGCCAGTTTCTGCCCCTTTATTGGCAGCCAGGTCATCACCACCGCGCGTCGTCTACCCGGCCTGTTTTACCAGCGCCCAGCATCTCTGCTAGGTGCGCGATTCGAGCCCACTTCCACTCCTTTTACTATTCGGATCCGGTCCTTTGGACAGGACGGAGAAGTAGATCCCATTCACCCAAATCTCTCTCGCTCACCCTCCATCTATGTCACTTGTTCAAAACCCAAAAGGGAGAGGAACTGGCGTATAAAGCCAGCCACGCACTGGGATTGCTCTATCCCCTGCGTAAGGAGTTTCTCACACGCTTCTGGTGTTCGAGTCACTCCGGTGTAGAGCTGGCATTATTTCTCCTGGCCAGAAGGCAATAGAGCCCACGCTTTCCAACCCCTGCTGGTTTGATTCCGCCTCCCAAGGTCTTTGTGTAAGACCCGAAAATCGGTTTATTTATCCGCATCCAGTTCATTGGATTGCTGAGCCCGATTCACACCAAGAACTGAAACCTATCGATTCCTCCCCCGCCACACACGCACCCGGTCGGGACCTGAGGTTACTGAGTTGATCAATCAGCTTGTGGGAGGATACAGTTGAGAAGCTAATGGAAAAATCCCCCTGCCAGAGGGTCACCGGAGCCCCGGAGCCTCACCTCTTGCCAGATTTTCAATGTCTTTTTCAACTAGTTGGGTCCCCATAAAGTCAATGCTGAGACCTTCCTCACCTGCAGTGCAGAACATGCATAGGGTTAGATAGTTGCGTCTATAGAAGCCCTGAAGCACTGGGTTGAGTTCAGCTCTGTTACTGGGGCGAGGGACTGTGGGACACGTGCAAGAACCTGACTGTCCATAAACAGTGCCCCGACCCGTGCCAGAAAGTTTAACTAACTAAGTTGTGAAAAACACAACCGACAACTCTTCAAATAGTTGCGGGTGGAGATCAGCGAGTCCTGTTCCGCATTTAATCAAAGTTTGTCTGTAAGCTCCTCAGACCGGTGGGGTATTAAATAATGAAAGTGGGGTGGGGGGTTACAGCTAAAACCGGATCCTACTTCTCATCTGTGTAAATGACAAAACCCGGAGTGGGGGAAGTGGGGGGGGAAGGAAACAAGGCCATAGCAACCTAGGAAAAGTGACTTGTAATTCACCACGTTATTTAAATATTTATTTGCCTAAAGCTGTAGGGGACAGCTTCTTACTGGTGATTTAAATGAGCTCCTTTCAGGGGAGAAAAAGTGCTGTCAAAAATATCTATTATTTAGGCGGAAGATAAGGAGCGCAGGAGTTGTGATTATTGTCCCTTGGCCCGCACTCCGGTTTCCACCGCAGTTCTGCGTCTGGACGTTCACAGGCCGGGTTACAACACAAAAAAACCTCCTTTGGAACAGACTGGAAATCCTGGACCTCCTGCTTACCTCTGTCGGTATTTACAGGGCTTGGATGCGAGACATTCCTTTGGTCTTGATAGGATTTGCTGGTCTCTAAATCCTCTGCTGTCGAGTGATTGTCGTCCTTATCTTGCTCTTAAAGTTAATAAACCGATTTTCAACCATAAGCAAAGAAAGTATGATCCTAATATATCCTTAATTACATAATTAAGGACAAAGTCCTTATTAAAGCCTTCTAATCCTAATCGCCTTGCAAGTGGAAAGTCGCTTGCTCTCCTGGAGGTTTATGCATTCAGCGCGCACGCTCTCCTAAACAGGAGACACCGAATCGAGTTGAAAACAGTCAAAAATCACAGGCTTCTCCATTAAAAATTCAGCAGCGGTTTTGAAGTTTTCGCTGCCAGACCTTTAGCAAGAGAGAACGCCACCAGATACAGGGAGCGTAAAATACTTGCCCTTTAAGGACAAGTGACACGCAGCAAATATTTGCACCTAAATAAATCCCCATAAAAAAAAGCAGTCTATCAAAATGACACCCGGTTTGGCTTATTTACATGAAAGACCTTCCCTTAACACAGCTAAGTTTGTTTGAAGGTCCTGCCAAAAATGGAAATGACATGGAAAGATTCATATAGTCTATTAGCAGGCTTGGAATAAGAATTATTCCAAAGGAGGGGGGGGGAATTGCCACTATTTTCTCTGCCCCTCCCCCGTTTACATTTCAAGCCATCGGAGACAATTGCTAGCAAAGAGGTCAATTTTACCATTTGCCTCGGGGTTGCAAAGATACGTGGTTGCAGGCCCCAGTGAAGCAGCGTTCTTCAGAGCCTGCAGATGGTCTTCTCTTTCCTGGGTGTAGACCTTCAAAAGAAACGGAACAATTACACGGAATGAGCTGGGGGGAGCGGGGGGTCACCCCAGCGAGGACCCGGAGCCAGCCCCAGACGGGTTTCGTGCATTCGGGGTGGAGAAGACCCCAGAGTTAGGACCAGTTACTGCTGCTGGGGGTTGCCGGAGAGTTACAGCCCCGCGGTAGAAGGCGACTATCGTTTTATTAAGCGTAATTATTAGCGCTCCGGAGAAAATTACCCCCATTAAAATTCAACCGCGGAGTACAAGAGCTTTTCAAAGCCTGCAGCCCCCACAGACCCAGCAGCCGCCTAATTTTAGGCAATTTTCCCCCTAAGCATGAAAGCAATCCTTCTAATCAGGTTAATTAGCTGTGGTTTAATGCGGCTGCATGTAAATTTACAGGTGCGCCGAATAACCCCTTTTAAAATAATAGAAAGGTGGGGCGGGGGTGAATCAAAGCCACCTCTGACGTGCCTGGGAGTTCACACCGTGCGGGGTTGAACGTCCGGGGGGCTGCGGCCAGTGACGCTCCCCTGCCGGCTTCACCCGGAGCCAGACACAGCTCCTGGGGCTTAGAGCTGTGTCCACTTCCTCCCATGTCCGCCACCTCCCCAGGGCCTGGTCTCTAGCACCTGCCCGGACCCTGCCTGCGCCGCCCTGGCCTCTCCCGGGGGCTGAGACCTTGCACCCAGGCCCGGCGCTACCGTCTCTGCGCGCCCGTGAGCGCAGCGCCCTAGGTAGGGAAGGGCCCAGCTTGGAGCGGGGTCCCCGGCGGAGCCCCCCACCTCGTAGCCGCCTCTGCTGCTGCTCCTCTGCGGGCTCCCCTCGGGCGGCGGCCGGTTCCCTTCCTCCGGCCCCTGCTCCCCGGCTTTCTCCTCGGCCAGAGGCGGCGGCTCCTCCGCCTCCTCGACGGCGGCCGCCTCCTCCTCCTCGTCCTCGGGGAAACGGTTGGACTCCACGTCCACCTCGGGCTCGTCGGCCGTGTCGGCGCCGGGCGAGAGGGAGCGGTAGCTGGAGCTGCCCTCGCTGAGGAAGTCCGGGGACAGGTAGCCGGCCGCGCTCCGGCCCGCCCCACCGTAGGCCTCCCGGGTGCCGTAGAGCTTGGCGATGCTCTCCGCGTCCTTCACCACGGGGCGGAAGGCGGACAGGTAACTGCCCTTCCTGGGCAGGGGCAGCGGGGGCAGCAGCGCCTCGTCCCCGGACCGCTCCTCCTCGGCGGCCGCCCTGGAGAGGGCGCTGGAGCAGCGCTCGCCGTCCGCCCCGGAGCCCTCCTGCGGGGTGGCGCTGCTGCGCCCGCTCCCCGACGGCTCCGAGCCCTCCAGCTCGCTGTGGCGGCCGCCCAGGCCCGGCGGGTCGGCGGCGGCCGCGGCGGCGGCTGCAGCGGCCGCCACCACCACGGCGGTAGCGGCCGCTTTGGCCTGGCTCTGGGCCGGGTAGGGCGGCACGGGCAGGCTGCCGGCGGCCGGCCAGAACATGGGGAAGGGCGGGTAGACGCCGCTGTCCTTGCCGGCGCCGGCCTGGTGCGGCGGCTGCTGGGGTTGGTGCGGGTGGGGGGTGCGGGTGGCCCCAGAACATGCCCGGCGGCAGGGCGCCCCCTTTGCCGGGCTCGCCCCCGCCGGCTCCGCCCAGCGAGTCGTCCTGCTTCTTGGGGCAGAGCCCGAAGGCGGCGGCCGGGAAGCCGTAAGGGTGCGGGAAGAGCGGCGGCGGCAGCTTCTGCAGCATACCGAAGCCTTTGCTGGGCACCGGGATGACCGGGTAGCTGCGTACCGCGCCGGCCCCGCCGTGCGCCCCGGCCGCCCCGCCGTGCGCCCCGGCCAAGCTCAGCGCGCCGCGCTCCCCGGGCGCCTCCTCGCCGCTGCAGCGTAGACTCTTGTGCACCGGGGCGAGCTCGGTTCCGCCGGGCGGCGGCGGGTGCAGGGCGGCCTTGGCGGCCGAGGAGGCGGCGGCCGCCCCGTGCAGGGAGAAGGTCCGCTTGCGGGTGCCGCCGTTGAACATGGCCTTGACATCCTCCCAGGCGTGGCTCAGCTCGTCCGTGGCCGTCTTGTCGCTCAACTTGAGGTGGCGGCGCCAGGAGTTGAAGTTGGCGGCGTCGGGCTGCGTGTACTTGGAGTCCGGCGTGCGGTGGGAGTGGAAGATGAACTTGTTGGGCGAGAAGTACATGCTGCAGTAGCCGCACTTGATGCACTTGGCCCGGGAGCTGTTGTAGCGGGCCGGGATGAAGCTGCCCCGCGAGCCCCAGGCGCACTCGTGGACCACGTCGAAGGCGAAGTTCTCCGGCAGCTTGGGCGGCTTGTGCTCGCCCAGGAAGGACTTGCAGAGCCGCTCCGCCTCCCGCTTGGTGATCATGCCGCAGCGCCGGGACGAGATGGGCATGGCCCCGGCCCGCCGCAGGATCTCCAGCTGCACCGGGGTGCACTGCACGCAGGTGATGCCCAGCGCCACCCGCCGGTTGTGGATCTCATTGTAGCTGTAGTTCTTGAGCAGGGTGTTGGAGATCTGCGCCAGGCACAGGCGCTCCTGCCCGTCGATGACCAGGGACACTATGGGCACGCCGTACAGGGAGGTCTCACCCACTTGGTTGGGCTTGAGGGGATTGGAGCCCGAGTAGGGCTGCAGCTCTTGCTTTGAATTCGGGGAGGAGCTTGAGTCTCTCCCCGTTCCCATCTGACTGGCAATCGCCTCCATCCCCCCCAAAACAAGCCTGCAAAACAAAAACACAACAAAAGGCAGAGATTAGCCACGCACCCGCGGCCCTGGCGTGCCCGTTGCGCCTGGGGGAAAGCGGCCAGCCAGGAGGCCCAGGCAAACTGGGCATCGTTGGGCCTTTTGTGTCGCAGCAGATCTCCCCTACCTGGTAAAATTCAGTCTTAGCAGCAGCCCTGCATCCGTCTCTAGACCGCGGCAGGGGCATCGCACAGGCAGAAAATTCCCTGGGCGCTGGCTGGTACAAGGAGACGTTTTTAGAGGCTGCCGCTATTCAGAAAGGTTTTGCTGTGTGTTAAGTAAGATCTCTCTTCTTCCCCCCGTCACCTATTATACCAGGATCTGTCTGCGGCTCCAGACCCAGGCAGACCTGAGAATAAGGGCCAAACTGTCATTTTAAATCTACCACAATTACTGCATTACGTGGGCACCGAGAGAGGAAGAGAATCTCGAATATAAAATATTAACGAGCGACACAATGCGCTTCTGTAGGTCGCAAAGGAATCTCTCGGTGTCTTTAGACACAAACCGACCCTGTTTGTTCTCAGATTTCTCCTTGGCCATTTCGGAGCAAAAGTGGAGGGCATTAAACACAACAGCCCGACGTCCTTTCATAAAGTGTTGGGGATTTTTTTTGTCCACCCCTCCCCCCCGTTTTCCTCTATTTTTAATCTCTCGCTTTTCAGACGCTCGGTTTCTCGCTCTAAACTAGTCCCAGTCTATTTGTGTTCAATAGCACCTCGGCTAGGTAAGTGCTGCATTTGTCCAGATTTGGAGGAAAGGGAAATAGACTTTAATTAGCGCTGCGTGGAGTTGTATTTACACATTAGAGGAGCGACTCAGTAAATAACTGGCTAACCTGACTGCTCCACTTTAGCTAACCGTGAGAGGACTTACCCGAACCGTGGTTTTAAATAAACTCACTGTCTCTTAGCCTGGCAGTAATCCTGCGGTGACACGGGGCCACATGTATTTAATCAAAACCGCTGCGCTCGTGTTTGAAAGGGTTCCCAGGCGTCAGCCCGAACGAGCGAAGGGTTAGGAAATGCACCAGCAGCCGAAAGTTGGCGGCTCTGTGCCGAGACTTTGGGCCCCGTGTTATTTTGAAATGCGCTGGATCGACCACTATACTCGAACCAGGCAGGCTTGGACCTTCTCCCTTGTCTAATGCCATTGCAGGGGATTAGGAGCGAGGGCGATTACTGACCTGCCCCATAAGGCTCCCACTCGCCCAGAGAGCAGAAGGAAACGTGAGCCAAGCAGATGAGCTTATCGAAAAGGGATCACCGCGTTAAGCAGCTTTCATGGTAATTACACAAAATAACTGAAGTGTCCTCCTCGAAAATGTGAATAAAACTTCACCCCAGCTCTGTCTAAACGCGGCCCGGATCCAGACACAGGGGCTTCGTTGTCTTGGCTGCAGCCAAAACGTTGGGATCCAATACTAAGAAAACGTATTTATTTAGAGTGAGGAGGAGGGGGATTTTGTTTGTTTTTAAATGATTAATTCAAGGCAGCAAGTCACTCATCCCCCCACACCAGCAGTCCCATCCCAACGCCTAATTGGACGTGAAACCGGCAGAAGGGGGCCGAATGTTATGGTATTAAAACGAATTACTTCGATATAAACCGAAACGAGAAAGGCGCCATCCCGAGAAGGAGCAGAGAGGCATGCGGCAGAAGGGAAAGCCCGAAATGTCGCTGCAAACACCGACCCACATATTGTTGTCAACGCCTCCCAAGCTCTGCTTGGATTTGTGTGTGCTGGGTTCGAAGCAGGGTTGCAAAATAAATTCAAGGCCAGCCGTGGAGCGTGGGTGCAGGCTCGCAGGGCGGGGAAGGGCTTACCTTGTGCGGTGCAATCCCAGGAGTGGCGGCAAGGTCGGGAGCACTTGTCAAAATAGTCCAGCAGCAGCCCCCCAAAACCAAGCCACCCCCAGCTCGCTAGGTTCCGTTCGTGCCAGGCGGCAGCGGCATCCAAACCCCAAGCAAGGTGCGGAGTTTCATGGGAGCGCCCGGGCGCCTGCCCTCCGCCCGTGTCCTCCCGCGCGGAGATGCAACAAGAAAAGTGACCACATGGCAAGTCCAAGGGAGGATGCTGATCCTTAGCTGAAGACGTTGCACATTGATCCAGTGACAGCTAAAATAATAGGAAGGCACACCCACTTAGCACCCGCGTCTTTACATTAACTGCCTTCGGGACCCGGGCGAGCGTCAATCATGGTTGCGCTCCAGTCAATCAAAACGCAGCCGGGGCTGCTTTAAGGGGGGGACAAAAATTGCTGGGGGGAGGGGAAGTGGTGGGGGGGGAGGAAAGGAAAAGCGATTAGAAAAATCCACGCGATCTGGCAAAGGTAAGCGCTTGGATTTGTCCACCTTTCACCTGGGCCGTCTCCCCGCACTGCAAGCAGAGGGAAACTCGTGCTGGGGGAGGAAGGGGCCGAGGGAAAGGGGAGCGGGGGGTGAGGGGAGCCGGCAAAGCAGCCCGTCCTCACACACTCCTTTATTTCTCTTGCCTTCGAGCGATGCGGGTTGGTAGACTAGAGGCGTCAGTCCAGGGGGATCACCGAGCGGCTCCTGTCTGGGAGTGCGCCTTCCCCGTGGGGAAGGACAGGAACCAAACCGCTGTGGTGGGAGAGGGTTGGGATTTTTGTTTTTTAGCCAAGCTGGGTCAAAAGTTGGTGCGCTGGGAGAGCGGCTGGGGCTGCAAACACGGAACACAAAACCGGCTCAGGGAAGTTTGCAGCGGAGGGTGCATTCGGGGGCACACTTCGGCTTCCCCCCGCCGCCCCCCCGGGCTCCGGAGTTCGCCTTACCTCGGTTAGCCGGAGCGAGAAGGGCAGGCCTGAATGTGGCACTCAGCTACCCGGCAGAGGAGCCGCTGGCAGAGGGAGAGAAGCGGCGAAAACCTGGAGCCAGGTGTTTTCTCCGCCTTCAAATTGCCCCGAAAAGCCCGAGCCGGGGCTGGTTGGGGGGCCTGGCGGTGCCCAACTGGAGCAAAAGCAGAGGGGGGAATCGATGGCCGGAGAAATTAAGGAATTTATTATTTATCACGTTAAGGGGCCATCCAAAGAGGCCTCCGAGAGAGCCCAATCAATTCTTGTTGGAAAGTAAAGACGCCATGAAATGCGACAGAAAGTCATCCCGGCCTCTGGCTAACGATGTCTTCGGCGGGGTAATTAGAAGGCGCAGTAAAAGGGGAAGGCGCTGATTGTTTTTTAAACTTTGCATTCGAGCCCCCAGGCGAGCCGCCTGCCTCGGCTGCAGCCCCCTCCCCGCGAACCCGCTGATCTATTGGTGCAATACTCGCCGGGAACGAAATCCTGGGGCGATTAACTATTTATAAGCTGATCAATAACCATCCTTCAGGTCTTCGGGGACTCTGACAGCTCCTAGTCCCGCTCGGTCACTGTGGGGAATCTCTCTCTAAATCCCTGCAGCAGCTCGGCGAGCCCCCGGGACCATCAGCCCCAAACTCCCCGAAAGAACCATTCCGGCTCGCTCAGGACTAACCCGCTCATTCGCCTGCGTCGGGGGGCTCCACGGGCCAGGCCCGAAGCCGGGCTGGTGGGGGGACTCGAGTGGGAAAAGTTGACCCGTTGTATTCGTTAGTTAAACTCCCTACCACGGGGCTGCGGGGTATTTGGCCAGTCGGAGATTGTGATGAATTAGGCAGAGGGATTTTTTTTTTGGGGGGGGGGGAGGCCACTAGCGTTCAAAAGGAAAACCCCCCCGCCTGCGTGTACAAAACTCCCCCGTCAATCTCGGCTCTCTGCAGCCCCTGCAGAAATGGGAACGGCTTCCGATCAAATCATCGCAACGAAAGGACCCGAGTCTCTCGAACTGGCGGCGGATCGCTGGTCCGTTGCGCGGGCAGCTCGCTTGGACGCGGGAGGGGAGCGATTTTTAAAAGCGTCAATTGTCATTTACCAAAAATAGCCATCCTCAAAAGGCATTTCTCCACCCAAACAAACCCGGCGTTTTCCTGCAGCTCCGCTCCTCCGGCTGTTTCTAAAGCATTGTGGCATTAAGTGCTCTTAATGGACACGTTAATTAAACTGTAATTAATCATACTGTCCGGACCAAATTTGAGCAATTACACTAATCAAACAGAAGTTAATAACGGCCAGCGAATCGCCCCTAGCTATTACTTTTGTTAAACAGCCTCCCATTCAACTAGAACAGCGTTTGCCCTCCACCAACATATGTGTTCCATATTAAAGCGAGTATTGTTATGAAAATTCGATTGCCTGCTTGGGATTTAATGTATCATTAAACGTATTTGTCCTTGAAAGCAGATTTAGGGCCATAAATCTCTTCCTAGGAATATGATCAAGTCTCGCCGTTGAGGGCTGGGGCCGGACCAGTCCTTTTCAAACACCCCAGAATTAATCACAGCGAGGACGGGGGTGGAGGGAGCTGGGGAGCGGCGGGTGCCCCACCTTGGAGTTTGGGGCGCGGGCTCCCGCCCGCATAAAAGTGCTGTTAAATGCAGCCAGTTTAAGTCCCTGTCCCCAGCGCTTCCCGCCGCCAGATTGAAATTTCCCTGGGCTCCAGGAGCCCGTCTTCTCCTCGCTAGGGTTACCGAGCCCGGCTGGGAGGGGGGTTGGATGCAACATTTATGCGGCCTCTAGGTAACCCTGCCCCAGCCGCTTTCAGATGCTGGGAGGGCACGGCCGCCTTCCCCGCAATAATTACACTCGGGTTCGGTAATTATTCCTCGCCTTTTAATTATTTAAAGCAACCACTGAAGGCTGCGCTGTGCCCAATGAGTGCGCCGCGCTGGCTGGTCCGAGGAGCTCGCCGACCCGCGGAAGGGATGGGCACCAGGCCGCTTGCGAGGGGCCCACCCTGTCTGCTGCCTGTAATTAGACATTTCAGGAGTCAATTTAGCGGGGTCCCTTTGCTCACTTCACCCCGGCGAGGAGCCCGCTAAACAAATGCGTAGTTAAATATTTATTAGGCATTATTACGGCACGAACCAAGCAGGCAGT